AGCAATATTTTGCACTTCAGTGCACAAGACAACGATATGTCGTAACAGTGTAACAGTGTCAAGAGTGCCTGGCGAGCTCCCACCCGAAACTTCAGCAGTCTGCGCTGCTCGCAGTAAATAAATATGCGTGGCTGGGTTGCCGATAGCTGCAAAAAGTATCGAAATTGGGGGGAAATGATTTTTTTAAATTTTTTAATTTAAAACTGCAGTTTTAGTGATTTTTTACACTTTTCAAAGCTTTCAAACATACGAATTTTTGAATTAAAAAAAATAATCCTGGTATAGATTCTTTGGGAAATTTTATGCTCTACAAGAATCCGCGACGTAAAAATTTTTATCTCAAACGGTTTAAAAGTTATGGTATTTTTAATGAAAAAAGATTTTTTTACGTGTTATTTCAATGGAAAACTTAGAATGCTCACCGACACCTTTTAAAATTGAGCAAAAAATTTTGCCTTGCAGGGAAATTTTTTGCTCGGTATGTAGGTTTATTTTAACCCATAAATCCGATAGGTTAGTTTTTTTGGCTCACCCTAATATACATACATATATGTGGGTGAATATATTGAGATGTCCACCAAGTAAAAATGATTATTTTTTATTTTAGTTGTTTCACTGTTAGTCTAGTTTGGGAAGCCACCAGGTCTAGTAAAAACATAACATAAGTGGTTCTGCACTAATGCAAGAATTTAAAAAAATAATTTTTAATATTAGAGCTTCACGGAAGATAGTTTCACGGAGGTTAGGATTTCGTATGTTTTTTTTAAACATCCCTTTGTATATTTGAAATAAGTTATTGTATTTTTTGACACCTTAATATTTTTTAAAAATACAATTGTACATACATAAAAAAATATTTAGGTTTTTAAATAGCAAATTAATGACTAAACTTTTTAATTATAAAACAGCAACACTCTCATCTGCAGATAAATTCTAACTGACCTTCGGGAATCACATGCATCTATAATGCTTATTTAAAATGATTGAAGCGCCATCCGTTGCACAAAATTTAAAGCAAAAACAGATTCACGGAGGATAGAATCATTTTTTGTAACACCTACATAAATGGTTATAAAAATTATTTCTTTTAATTTTTAATAAAATTTTATATTTGATTTGATTGCTTTGGATGTGTTTAATTTACTTAGTGAATTGATATTTTTAGTATGGTTTTACTACCTCAGATATTTGAAAACATATAATAGGTTAACATATAAAGAGTAACAGTCACGGAGGATAGGTTTTAGACTTTTAGAACATTGTAAAAAATAATTAATTGCGGTTAAAAATCTGGAACCTGAACTGTAATATCTACTTAATTATGAAAGATCAAAACACAATAAAAGTGTAGGTCAAACTCATTTAATTTTATTAAATATCACGGGGGACATTTCGTGAGATTCACCCATGTGTACATTACTGATATGTTATTTATATAAAAAATCATGATCTTATCAAAACCTGGTAAAATTGTTATAAAAGGTGCTCAAGAATGGCCAGCAAGATCTCCAGATTTAATGCCACTTGATTTTTTTTTGGTTATTTAAAAAGGTCTATAAAACCCCACCCAAGAACATTCAAGAACTTAAACAAAGAATAATTCAAGAATTTTGGCAGATAACTAAGATAAGAAACGTTTTAAAAAGTTGAACAAGAGTTTGAGAACAGATTGTTATACATTGTAGTTTAGTAATTTTTTTATGAAATTTTTTTGTTATTTTATTTTATTTTTTTATTTTTTATTGCACTTCTCACTTGATATCTAAATCGAACTGTTTTGCTCAAGATTATATTTACTATAACTCAAAAGTTATTAATTAATGGTGGCTAGTTTTTAATTAAAAGCCCTGTATAACATAAGTTATTGCGGCTATTATAAAAACAAAAATGGGTATGTTTAGTTGTAAAATTTACTTTTTTAAAATTTACAGGGATAACTAAGTTTTAATGATTTTTGGTTTTGTAAGTTTTATAATTTTTAAATTTCATTTTAGTAGGGTTGTAAAAACTGTATTAAAGTAGCGTGCCTTTATATTTAATTTTATTTTTTGTCTATATTTTGACAGTTCTGTCAATTTGTTTTAATGCAAAAAAAATATTATTCCTGGGTCTGTTAAAAAAATTAATTTAGGACCTATGGGATTATAGTGAATATCGTTAACGTCATTCTACAAAATTTAATTTTTAGTATAAAAAAAATACAAATTAATTTTTATTTTATTTTATTTTGTTTAAGAATATTTATTTATGTTAAAAAATAAAATACTATTTTATAAAATTTGTTAATAATATCATATTTTAGAGTTCTCATTTTTTGCTGTCAACCATGTTAACGTCACGCTTCTTGTTTACTTTTGTTTCCATAACAACCGTTTTTATATGCTTGTTTTAAGACTGCTTGTAATTTTTTTTAATGTTTTTTATCATTGTATTTGTGCGTTATACTCGGGACACCTTGTATATTATTCATCCAAACAACAATTTTTTTTAGTTTTCCTTATAATTCTTAATTTTTTGTTTATACATGTACAATTTTACATGAGTGTTTATCATTATAAAGTTTTTATTAACTGACTAAGAAATACTTTTCTAATTTCTATTACTTAATTAATTTTTTCTACTCCCACCTATAAAACGCCCTTTATCGTACATGTTTCCATGACACTAAGTGACCTTTTAAATACACATTGATAAGTTGTGGCTTTATCGCGCTTTAGTCACGGGCTGAAGTTAGTTTTAAGTTAGTTGACAGTTGTCAAATGTCATACAATCGTTAAAATAAAGTGCCTTTTTTGTAAAATAATACTAAATGTGAAAATTATTTTATTATCTCAATACAAAAATACAAAAGTATTAAATAGTTTCTAAACGCCATTATTTGAAAAGTTTATATGAACATTTTACTGACCTTTTAATTTCGCCGGTAGTAAACTATAACTTAAATTCGGGCACGGACTCCACTGTAAAGTGCTCATAAAACATTTTCTTTACTTTCACTGTGAAAAACTGTCAATTTTCAAGAAATACATTTCGATTTATAACCTTTAAAGGTTTATATGGTATTATAATTATTATAAGTGTGTTTATAAAATGTAAAAATTTGACATTTGACGGTGACACACAGATTCGCCTATTGTTTCATAGATGGCGCTCCATACAAATTTTTTATTTAAATCATTTTAAGATAATAATAAGTATTTGTCGTAGAAAAAGTATAGTATGCACCTCGTTTATAAACTTTTCTATACACTCATTAAATTCGTGTATAAAATGGCGTTTATCAAACTTGATACATAATTTACTATTACATTACTTTTGTTTTAACTAAATAATGGTTATCATTAGATGGCAAGAAACATATTAATTTGTTTAAATTATACTATAACAAATAATTAACTTTTTAAAACTCTTCTTTATTATTATATTTATAATTTATTTAAAATTAACTAAGTTATAAAGCATTCACATCGTAACGTTCATTTTGCGTCACTCTGTATATAATTAACAAGTATTTGGTATATATGTAATAAAAAAATGCAAATTAGATTAAAACCAAAAACAATTTAATTTTAAAGGTAATAGAGATTGTTGTATGCCTACACAGACCACCAGGAATAATTTATGAAAACTAATAAAAAATATTATTTTTATTAGTTAAATATTTTTGGTTTGCTAAACCAACCTCAGAATTGCTTCATCTTTTTACAATAATAATAGACATATTTTGGCATATTTTTCTCAGACAACATTGTTGTATTGTCATTGTTTTAGTCACGGGCTGAAGTTAGCAACAGGTTTTTAGTCACGGGCTTAAGTTGGGTTTAAGTTATTTGACAGTTGTCATATAATCGTTAAAATAAAGTGCACGTCTTAAAAAATATTACTAAATGTAAAAATTATTTTATTATCCCATTACAAAATACAAAAGTATTAAGTATTAGTTTCTCAACGCCAATATTTAAAAAGTTTAAATGAACATTGAACTAACCTTTTAATTTCGCTGGCAGTAAACTAGATTTAACTTAATTTTGGATATACGAGACTCCATCGTGGTTTACCTATAAAACATTTTCTTTACTTCCACTGTTACTCTATTGTTTTATAGATGTCTCTCTATACAAATATTTAAATTAAATCATTTTTTGATAATATTAAGTATTTGTCGTAGAAAAAGTATAGTATGGAACTCCTTTATAAATATAATATAAATATAAATGGCGTTTATTAAACTTGATTTTCTATTTTAAATTTAATTTTGTAATTATAATATGTATTTATAAATAATATATAATATAATATAATATAATATAATTTAATATAATATAATATAATATAATATAATATAATAATATAATATAATATAATATAATATAATATAATATAATATAATATAATATAATATAATATAATATAATATAATATAATATAATATAATATAATATAATATAATATAATATAATATAATATAATATAATATAATATAATAAAATTTAATATAATAAAATTAAACCAAATAAATTTTAACATCAAGTAGTATAAATTTTATAAAATTCCGCAGTACGTTAAGAAGTTAAGCATGTAATTAAACTATTTTTGGCCGAATTAATGCGTAAGCCATGGCTTGTGAAAAAAGCATGCATGTGAAAAATCTGCGGCAACACTGTCAGGGCCAGTGACCACGGCAATCTTGATCCGGCAAAAACTTTCAGTTTCGTTGGCGGGATCGAGCCAGCCGGGTTAAGTCCGTTTCGCCGCCCGCGCCTTCTATGACGTTCACGTGCGAAATTCGAATTAGCCAAAACTTTGATGTCGTTTTCGCGCCCCAAAAAGTGGCCTAAAACAAAAAAATAAAGTTACCTTAATTTATAAAGACTATTTTTATTAATTTTTGTGTTTATATTATTTAGACAAAAATATTTTGAACTTAGTGTTGACTTTATTTTCAATCTGTGATATGTTAATTTAGTGGTTAGGTAGTGGTGTTTTTAGTGATTTTTGATCCAAATACAATTTAGTGAATTTTTTAGTTATAGTGTTTTTTAGTAATAATTTAAGGTGAGAACATAAAATGTTAAAAATATAAATAGGTACATTCATTGGATAAAGTATATTACTTATGATAATGGCCCATTAATGTAAGTAATATACTTATTAATGGGTTAATTTATATTAATAAGTTGCATAGCTGGTACATTTACTAAAAAATATTATTTTTAATATAGTTATTGTTTTTATATATACATATATTAAATATAATAATTAAATATGTTTAATAAATAAAATATAAATTTAAATAAAATATTAATTTTTGTTTAAATTTTTATTAAAAAAGATTATTTTAAATTTTACTCATTTTATTACTTAGTATTGGGCATTAATTTTTTTTCAAAAAATATGCAATCAAATTTGTTTTAAAAAAATATTTATATACAAATATTTCAAAAACTATTATTAATTATTTATGATATTTAAAATTAAATTTTAAGTTAGGTATATTAAATTCTAAAAAAGTAACTAGTTGAATTAAAAATTTATTATTTAATTAATATTTTTTTCATAATTTATATTTATATATATTTTTTTAAACATTTTTATGATTTAAAAATTAACTAACGAATATATCTTGTAAAAGTATTATACCATCATAAATTATATATATTTTTTTAAGCGGCAGCACATTTAAAATGTTTTTGTAAATAAGCATACAATTTCTGACAATAAAAAATTTACATTCATTATGATAGAAATGTTTTTAAAAATCTTTATCAAGAAAAAGCACAAATTTGCTTGAATTTGTAAAAATGCATAAGATTTTTAAATAAAACATGAGATGCCACATTAAACAGGAATGCCACATTCGCGTTGTTTGTGATTCCCAGTATGTACCAGGGGCGTAGGCAGAATTTTTTTTTTGGGTGGTGGAAAAATAAAAAAATACTTATAACACTAGAATTTCTAAAAATATTTCAAAACACAACTGTTTCCACATTTCAAGGGGCTTTAAAACCCCCAATACCCTCCTGCCTATGCCCGTGGCGCCAACCACTACCAACCAACTCACATCAACACTCCTGTACTAAAAAAAAATAACTTAATAATTTTTATGCATAAGAATTATGTTATCCAAATATTACAAAAAAAATATTTTTTTGATCGTTAAATTTAAAAAGTTGGTTCATTTCTGTTAAAAATAAGAATTTTGGTAAAATAGGTAAACTCTCACTATTTTAAGTGGTAAAATTTTAAATTTAGGTCAAATGATAATTTAGGTAAAATAAAATCAGGTTGAAGTAAAATGATTTTTTTTTTAATTTTTGTTTATTTCAAAGTCTACCTTTGACAGAGTAAACATTTGTACACCGATTTTTATAAAATTAGAGTATATTATTGAGAAGACTTAAAGAATACTTTTTAATACTGTTCCCATCAGTTGATATATACAGGGTGAACCAAAAATCGCTTATTTTTAATAATGCAAAAGCGTAAAATCATGATTTTGACATAACACGCAAAAAAGATTTATCCCCATTTTTTTTAGATATTTCTACGTTTATGAGGTTACAAAATGTCTTTCTTATTAACCTTTTATAAAAAAATAAATTTTTACTAAAATTAAATAAAATAACGCTTAGAGAATATTAAAAATGTTGTTTAATTTAGGCTTTTTAGTTTTCAATTTTGAACGAAAAACTGGTTAAAGTTTTTTGATCGGCCCTCTTTGGAGATTTAAAAACGATATTTACCAAAATTCTAACTGCTTTTTTTTAATTTGTTAAAGAATCATTTTTTTTTAATTATTTGTTTATCGCAAAATCTACCTTTGCCAGAGTACACATTTGTACACCGATTTTTATTGATTGCAGTTTTTTGTTCGAGACCCTTTGGTAACTTTAAAATGATATTTACCAAAATCCTAGCTGCTCCTCTTTTCGAAATTTTTTGAAAATTCTTATTTTTTTTTTAAATTTTTGTTGATCTTACCTTTTACAGAGTTCACATTTGTACACCGATTTTTTTAATATTGGGGTATATTGTTAACGAGACTTTGAGAATACTGTTTTCATACTGAGCACATCATTAGATTTATACAGGGTTAGCCAAAAACCACTTTTTATATAGTAAAAAGCATAATGCACAAAAAAGATTTATCTCCAAAAAATGTTATTTTATTTAATTTTATCCAAAATTAATTTTTCTTATAATATCTAAAAAAAGGGTGGGTATATATCTTTTTTGCGTGTTATGCCAAAATCATGAAGTTACGCTTTTGCTTTATTAAAAGAAGCGATTGGCTAACCTTGTATATATTAAATGATGATCACAGTATAAAAAAGTATTCTCCAAATTTTCTTAACAATATACTCCAATATTATAAAAATCGGTGTACAAATGTGTACTCTGTCAAAGGTAGACTTTAAGATAAACAAAAATAAAAAAAAACATGAATTTTCAAAAAATTTTGAAAAGAGGAGCAGCTAGGATTTTGGTAAATATCATTTTTAAGTCAGCAAAGGGTCCCGAACAAGAAACTGCAATCAGTTTTTTGCGGCATTTTTGTGACTTAAACTTCGTTCAGGCACACCGTGTCCACCTGAAGCACTATTAGCGAAGACAAATAGGTAATAACCTCAAAATCCCATATCTAATTAGCATACATTTATATTATAATATAATCATCAATACAAAAATGCAAACAAATTTACCAAAGCCAATAAGAATCTAATAATTTTTTTGAATTTATAAGTTCGGTTGGCATGAATTAGTTCAAATAAATTAAGTGATTTAATTCAAAATTTTACTTTTAATTTAATTGCATCGAAAACAGATAAAAAATATTGCTTTGATCCTTTATATACTGTAGTTTAAAGAATTTTAATTAACATTGACAATTTAATAAGAGTTTTTAAAAATTTCAGTAAAATAAACTAATAATGGCGCGATCTGATTGCCTACCAAAATCCCTTAATTTTAGAAAATTCAAAAATTGATTAGTACTAATTTTAAAATGTCTTAACTAATTCGTAGTTTAAATATTTCTTAATGGATGGTGTTATAAATTATATTAAAAATTTAATTAATTCAAAAAAGTCTAAATAAATTTAAAATGTCGAACTTTTTAGTTTTTTTATAAAAGTCATGAATTTTTTCAACCATGTTTAAATCTTAATATTTGTTAAATAATTATCTAAATTCTATTAATATACTTTCAAATTTTTTAGGTGACTTTAAAAATTTGTTATTTGTTATTATTTGATAAAAAGTTCTTTTGAATGTAAAAGATTTATAGTAAAAATATGTGTAAATGAACTGAAAAGTTTTTTTTCAAGCGTACAATAATTTTCATATTATAACACTTATAGTCTATATCGAGTCTATATAAAAAGATTTTTTATTAAAATTTATTTTATAAAAAGATTTTTTATTAAAACTAGTATAAAAGTCAAATTATTATTAAACTCCGTACAGAAATAAAGCTATGTCAAGAACCTAACCTTAAAATGATGTGACAGAATCAAGAAATAATTTAATTAAATGCTTGAAAAAAAATTGTTTATAAAACTCGGCGGCTATCGCCTCGGCTATAATTTGTGCTTTCTTCGCCTGGTCTATAATGTACTATTAAGTCAACAGCTATAATTATAATTAGTCCTTGAAAATTGTAATTTATTTTTATTTATTTTGGTTTTAAATTTCAATTACCCAATAAGTGCAATCAATATTAATTTTATTTATGTATGTGCGAATATAAATAACCTCAAAATTAACTTCAATTTAATTGGCACTCACATCTAAGCAACAATTAATAAAACAATTTAAAATAATTTCTTAATTTGGGCAATTAAATTTTTGTCATTGTTAAGTTTGGTTCGAGCAGAGTTTGAATCAATAAGTCTTATTACTTTAATATTTTTCATTTCGTGCAGTTCTAGTTTTTAGTTTCGTAATTAAACTGGCATTATATTATGAAAGACCCCCATTAAAACTGACTCAGCGTAGATTTTGTCTTGTGATACCGATATTTATATGAAATTGAGAAACACAAGTACCTTAAGGATTTATAAATAAACAATATTATTTTAACGTAATTATTCTGTAATAATTATTGTATTTTGGGGTGTCCGGTATTTTTCCAATTTTTTTCAAGTTGATGCTTAAATCATAAATAATATGGATTATAATAATAGGAAAATTTTTATTTTTTTTTATTTTTAAGTAAATGATAAAAGTTGGTAAGTTGTCTGCCAAGTTTGTGACGTCATGATGTTATAATCTAGGGTTGCAATGTTTTGACGTTTGAATTTGACAGCTGTCAACAGCTTCTATAGTATGTGTATTTACTGTAAAAATTAGTTAAATTTAGTGCAGTGACCAGTGTCGGACTAAGGGGGGGCGGTCCGCCCCGGGCCCCCTGTCCAGAAGGGCCCCCAAATCTTAAGTAGTCTTTCTCTGTCCAACAAAAAACTATCTAGAATTTAGGGTTTTAAAATTTCCGAAAAAATTGAGCCAGCGAAAAAAAACCGGTTTTTTTTTCGAAAAAAAATTGGGAAATTTTTGAGAAAAATTGACTTTATTTTTCTCATTTTATTCAAAAATTTACAAACTTTTAGAGATATGTAGGTATTATCCGTACACTGCTCGGTACACTGATATCGAGAAACAAGTAAATTTCCGACGCTGAATATAATCATAATATCATTTTCTTAAATCAATTTAATTTAATTCAATGATTAGTTTTATTTTTTTAAATTAAATTAAAGTTAAGTTGTTGATTGCTACTTTTCTCAAATGTATACATTTAAAAAAAAAAATAATTTTTTCCCAAAAAATACATATTTTTAAGGCATGGTTTTTCCCCCAATTTGTTTGTTTTTTTTTTCGACACTTTAAAACCTTAGTATAGGTATAAATATTTCAGGACCCAGCTTTACCATAAAATATAAACTGAAAAAATTTCAAGTTTCTAAAGAATAACATGCTATGAAAAACAAAACAAAATATAAAGTCAAAACTAAAAAAAGATTTTTAATATTTTGGTCTCGGGAGCCCCTAGCTGC